CTACATGAACAGCGTTTTTACATGTTAGAAGTTACATGCATGGAGTTTTACAGACATTAGTCTTTGGCGGCCTATTGGGAAAATGCCTTGTGTTGTGCGGAAGATTTTTAATCACAGTACCAGAAGTGGCCACTGGGACAACCTGAGGGGTTTAGCAAACAGTTAATTGGGTGTTTATCTGCCTCCCAGTGCATGCTGGGGAAGTATATTTCCTTCAGAGAGCTCATGAGGTCGCTATAGCATTGCACTATTATGACTAGGAAGGGGACAATGTGAAAATTTCATGTCAGCCAAAATAATTCTGATCGACAATATTATTGCGATAATCCTGCTTAACACTTCAACTGGAATCACTTTACCTTACATTTTCCTGAAAAACAAGTCTGATTTAAATGTTCTTGTGGGGGATGCAGTGGGCAGCGAAGCCTTCAGCCATGGTGACAGGCTTAAGATTTTGGAATGACTGGAAAGATATAAAGACTAAAGGAGAACATAGGACTGTACGTTAGTGAGCTAGGCAACTTCATCCCTACTTATCACATTGTCAGAAAACATCCTGCTGGAGATCTGAATGGAAGAGACAAACCTCAGAGTCTCTCAGGTTGGTGTCTCCTCCAAACAGGACGGTCACATCATCAGGCGCCTCCGTCATCCTCTTCATCACCAGTCGCAGCTGTCTCATGCGCTCTCCTGCATTGGCCTTACAGCTCTCCAAATGGGACGTCATCAGACAAAGCTTCTGGCCTTTGAACAGCACCTGATTTGAAAGGAAGGACATTTTTACGCCAATGCATGTAGAAGTGAAACAAATTTTTTTGGATAACACCTTCACAGACTCATGACTGTGCACCGACCTGAGCGACAATCAGGTTCCTCATCATCCGACTGGATGGATAGGTGACTAGCTCGCTGTGCAGCAGTGTGATTCGTGACTTCTTCAACATCATCCCGATGAAGTAACCCTCATTACCACCTGATCAGCATGAAGGAACGGCGATAAGGTTCACAACAGGATGGATTTTAAGGTTCTTTTGATTGTTTTTAAGGCCATACATGGGGAGGGACCTCTCTGCCCCTACACCAACTCTTAATAAAAGAAGTTAACAGAACTGAATTCTATCCCAATACTGTTTGTTCCATTGACTCATTTTCTTGATGTTGACTTTATATCATTATAACAGTGTAAGCATTATAATGCTCTAGTATTAGGATCTGTTTTTAAATTTTTGTTTTTATTTCAGTTTATTAATGCAATTATATTAATAATTAATAATTAATAATCTTTAAAACAGTGTGACGTTTTATGTAATGTAAGATATTTATCTGTACAGTAGCTCTTGGTTGCTCTTAGTGGGTTTTAGTATTTTATTATCTTATATTACATTGTATTTATTGTTCTTACAGTTTAATTCTATTTTACATTCATGCACATATTTAAAGATTGAGGTTGATATCGTAAATGTACCTTTTTCACTATTCCGATGTGATTTTACTAGATTGTGTGCCCTAAACTTTAATCTGTTTAGTACTTTGGTCAACTCTGATTGTTTTAAATGTGCTGACTTTAAAGGAGCATGAATATATTAACAGCGAATACTGTTTGCTGTATTTGTTCTGGCTATTGCATCAGACTTTTACTGAAGTATTAATAGTAAATATACCTATTAGGAGTAAAGTACAAGCTGAACGTGATAACATTAACAATAACAGTGAAGCATGCTTTGACTGCAGGCCTTACAGAGAAGAAATGTACATTTTGAGTGACGCTCTGTAAACCCAAAGCAAAATCTTGCCCAGGGCTGCAACAAAGGTTCAAGCCGGCCCTGTTTGGTCGCATCACTTTCTCACGTGTACCTTCAATGAACGTGTAGTTGGCCTCCAGACGTTTCTTCATGAAGCGGATGTATGGTTGGATGAGCTCCTGAAGAAACACTACATCAGGAGAGTGTCTATGTGGAGATTAATGGAAGAAGGAGACAGAACTATTGAAAAATGAACCTCATAATCTCAGTAACAGCAACAATGTGATTGAGCAGAATCACTTTCACTGGAGTTTAAATAAATAAATAAATAGCTTTGAAAAGGGGCATTTAAAAATGTCAAAACAAAAACATCCATTTCCAGAATCAAGATCCACGGTTTTTACTGGAACTAATATGATTGATTCAACTAAATTCCTGTATTTTGTTTTAAAGTGGAACATAGATATGGTGGGGAAATGAAACCGAAACTAACTGAGAGAAAATGTGTTTCCACAGACACAACAGACCATAACAGTGTCCATAACTTACGACATTAAGTAAGAGCAGAGACCTCTCGCTCTCTCCGGCTGTTTCTCTCCATCGAGTCCATCCACATTCCAGCAGATCAGCGACAGTTTGCTGTTTTCTTCTCTATCTTTGGTTTCTGCTGTGGCATCGCTGCAGAGAGCAGATCTGTCGGCTGTGGAGCTGCTGGTCTTTATTTCTGATGACTCTTGGACAGCACAGGCTTTCTCCATGTCGCTTTTGAAGAATATTGGCAAAGATTCGGCTCATAAGGATTAAACCTGCAGCAGAGTTAGGGTTAGTTTAGCTAGGGTGACTCATATGAAGACGTGGAGCTTCAGTTTCTGTTGTTACACATCATATGACCGGAATAAGACAAAGTGTTCCTTTCTTTACTTATGCACCCTAACCTTATTAAATATTAACACATTACTCTCCATAAACCAAAGTATCAATACCACAGTGTGAAATAGCCTGCATTCAAAATCTTACGTAAGTAGAAGGACATAACTCAAAATACACCTAACGTACCAAAAGTAAGATAACTCCTGGTGCAAAAGAAAAAACATTAAATTAAGATAAAATAAAGACTTATCATCTGTGACTGTACATACAGATGCAGAGTAAATAACAGACATGTAACCACATGAGGCGCACCCTGTGCACTAAAGAAAGCACTATTTGATCTGGTAAATCATTACTCACTGACTGTACAGTCTGTAGAGTTGTACTATTTTGTGTTGAGTGCTGTAGTGTGTTGGTCATTTTGAATAAAAACGTACATTAATGTATTAATATTTGTGTTATTGTACCAGGTAGGGCTGCACAATTCATCTCAATATTACTGAAAGTGCAAAATGCAAACTTTCATTTTTGGAAATCAAAGACACAGAACAGACCTAATTTTGATAGATATTATTGTTATTACTGTCATTATTATTATTATTATTATTATTATTATTATTAATAAAAATATAGGCGGAACCTTTGGAATACGCTGTTGTTTCACATCGGTTGGGGACGCTAATTGTCAACAGGAGCGGCGTGTTTTTGTTGCAAACGTTGGTAGTTTTGAATTTCTTATTCTCTTGTTGTTGTATTTTAAAAGTCTCCGCTTGTATTAAAGCTCGTTGTGGTAGAACAGTAACAATATTTAATCATATTAGACTTTGAATTAGCTTCCAAAACTGTCAATGTATCACTGAAAATGAGCATTTTGTAATAAATATCGCTTAGTGTGGTCGCCGAGTTAAAGAATAGCCCCTACAAATGCAGTAAACTTCTAAAATAGTAAGCTGACCCTGTCACATATCTGCTTAACAGCAAGAAAACTTTAAAATTTGAAGAATTGTAAAAGGAGTTTGGTGTGATTTTCTATCGTTACCGACCTCTTGTGGTTTGAATGAAGGTATTTCTGCATTAACGTTACATATTGCTTACTGTACTGGGTCGCCGAATTAAAGAGTGGCTTCTAGTAATCGAGAAAAGTTAAAAATATTATGGCAAATCGGAATAATATGTGCAGAGAAGCAAGGGGACTTAAAAGTCAGAGATTTGTGAATGGAGTTTGGTGTGACACGGGAGAACGGAGCGTGTCTGGACTACATCCTGTCCTGGTGCCCTCTAACCGCTGGCATCCGTGTCCAGCTTTGTATGGCGGTATATTGTTGTCGTAAAGTTACTGATTTGGTATTTTTGCGCTTTCCAAATTGGCATGAGTCAACCTCTGAACCGTGCGCTGCGTTTCAAATGGCCACTGACGAGAAACACCTCGTTTTATTCTCCCGAAAACAGGCTCATTAGATCGGCAGCGAGCAGCCCGGTAACCCGCAGGAGCTGCCACTGCGGTCTCCCTCCTGCAAGCTGCTCATTATGCGGCCGGGACGGCGTCTGTAGCGCGGCTTTAACACACCTCAGTCCGGCCTTTGGAGGCGCATTCTTTGGAGGTGAGTGATTTTGAGAAAACAGGTTTGATAAAAACATAAATTGTGTTTTTGAGTGTGGGCATCGGCTCCCACTTCCAGGAACAATCTCACAACGTGCTGGAGCCTGAACTGTCTGAGGAAACAGAAACCTTTTTAAGTTTATGAACTCGAACAATTTAAGCCAGTCACTTAAATGCATCTTTATACAAACAATGTATTATTAATTAATTATGAAAATGGTAGTAAACCTGTCTCAGTGCACTTTATATGACATAATGACTCTAAATACTACAATACCCATGAGGCTCGGCTGTTGGTGCTTTGTGGAAGAAGCTGTAGTTGATTCTAAACACTTTGTTGATTTAAACCCGCTGAATGTTTTATCTGTAAGTGTAATTTGAAGCTCTGTGATTGGTTGTTTCTTACTGAAATGCATTTTGGGAGTTATAGTTGACTTATCTCCTTCAGTTTTTATGAAAGAACCAGATACTTTCCAACTCAGTGGTTCTGTCTGGAGATTGAACCTGCAGACTTTCATGTCCATTGAATTGAACATTGTCCTTCTTGACCCTTTGCTCTCTGTTTAGCGTGTCTGTTTGGGAGCTCGTTTCGGGGCCCTGATGGAGGCCCGTGGCGCTCCTGCTGAGGTCCTCCTGCAGCATCCCTGGCTCCCTGTGAGCATCAGCGGCTGCCAGCTCCTAGCCAAGAGCTGGTTCGGGGAAACGGCGTACCACATCCTGCTGACAGACATTCACTGTGTGTGGGAGGAGAGGATGGACTCAGCTGCCATCCAGCAGAGAGCGCAGGTACATAAATGATGAATGGACTGTACTTATTTAGCACCTTTCTGGTCTTTCAACCACTCAATGCACCGTACACTACAGGCCACCCCATTCACACACACTCATACACTGATACACAGCATCAGGAGCATTTTGGGGTTCAGTGTCTGCTCAAGGACATTTAAGTAAAAACAGAATCCGTTTTCCTCTGATAAATCAATCCCCCTCTCCCCAGGAGCTGAACAGACGTTTACGAGCCCCCGTCAAAGCGTTCTTCTCCCACCTGTGCGAGGTGGTTCAGCCCTGTCTGTCAGGAAGGGACGGGGGAGCCGACGGCGAGGCCCAGGTGTCCTTGACGCGGCAGGAGGGCGGCAACATCAGCATGAAGCTGAAGAGTGAGCTGGCAGGGCTGCCCTTCTACTGGGAGTTCGACTGCACCCCCGCACCCGTCACTGTGGTACGGTCCAACGTTTCTCATTGCTGTTGCCAACCAGTTATGGTCTCTATTTATTTATCCAGATTCTTGTGCTTGGCCATGTTTGAAATTGATTGGCAAAAAGTTCAAGAGCTTAATTTATTTTGCTTTCTTGTGATGGTTCGGAGGACTTTCCGCTCTGCATAATGCCAAATTGTCTCTCATTTCTAACACAAACATCTGAAGTTTAAAAGAAAATGTAGGGTTTATAAGCTGAAAATATTGCTGATTTGCAGCCTCAGTACAGGAATATTGGTGTTGATATCAACTTTCACTTATACCTTGATTTGAAGACGCTTGTTGGAAAATGACTTAAATTATTACATTTAATAAATACAAAAAAAGTTTACTTTATCCAAAATGCTTCACAAAGTTAAAAACCAGCAAAAAAGATTAGTTTAATATATTGTCACTGATAAATGTCTTTATACTCCAAGTGGACTTTATACCAATATCCCACAACCTGATGAGTTTCCTGTGTGTGTTTTCAGGTGTGTGTTCAGCTGGTGCGCCCCCTGCTGGCCATGAGCCACCTGCTGCAGCGCCAGGTGGAGCAGCTCGGAGGTCTGCTGGCGAGGAAGGATGCCGAGATCCAGGACTACAGAGAGAACGGAGCCACGCTCAGCAGAGGTACACACACGCACAAACTCTGTTGTTGTTGTTTTGATGAGAGAGCCCCTAGTGGCAGAAATGACATACTGTACGTTTAACTAATCAACCTGTGACCCCTCAGGCTTTTTTACAAGGTCCATAACTGGAATGGTGTGTTGTTTGAAACCGCAGAGCGGCTGCAGACGGGACGTTTTTGGAGGAGGCGAACCTACAGGGAGAAGGACTTCATGTCAAAGGTGGGAGAGGTCAACAAACACAGACACACACTGTCCGGCTTGTTTTTACACGTCCCTCCCTCTGGCTCCTTCCCAATCGTTTAAACCGGCTGTGGGCCGAGCGCGGCAGAAACCACATGGATTAAAACACTGCGGCCGCTCTCTCTTCTGGCTGGAAACATGAGCCGCCGTGACGCGCTTTCAAGTAAGCCAATCAAAGCAAGGTGAAGGGGGGATGTTTTATTACAATTTTTGTGTGATGTGCATAAGGTGGTGGTTTACTGTATTCCCAGGTGTGGAATTTGTCATCTCTGACTTCTTGGCCTGACCCCTGACTCCTCTGTGGTGTGTGTTGTGAGGAGGAGGAGAGAGAGAAGAGAGAGAGAACGAGAGAGAGAGGGAGATGGGGAGGATTGGACTGACGCGAGCATTTTCAGATCTACCTGTGAAATTGTTCAGTGTGTGTCCTGTTGTCCTCCGTCTGGGATCTATTTTTTACCATTTTTATTTCATTTGCCCCAGTTCAGTTGTTAGTTTCATCCAGTCTCATTTTCAGGAAGCAGTTCAGACCCCAATATTTCCATCTCTCGGGGGTCTTCAAAAATTGGCGGGGCCCACTGCTTGTTTGTCAGGGGGGAGGGCCACTTTAACGCCTCACAAGAAAGCTCAATATACTTGAAAATTATTTTCAATTATTAAACATCACTACTTAGCGAAGGAAAGTGCAGTTCTATACATTTTATATTCATCCTTGGATAAATCTTTGAGTTTTGAAGGCCCGTGAAACTCTCCCTTTTCGTTTTGCACGCACCGACTTAACCTTTGCCAGTTATTTTCCGGCCAAACAAAAATACATTATTTAAAATAGGATTGTGTATTTGTTTATGAAGGGCGTAGTTTTAATTGATATGAAACTCATGAGAAAGATTATCATTAAAAAAAAAGGGGAGAAAGGAAGGGCTTTAATTGGGGGACCTTATCCCTTAAAGAACTTTTAATTATTTTTCAATTTTAAAGTAAACCTTCTATTTTCAGTTATTTTGTCCATTAACCTTTCCTTTTGCTTTCTGTCTTAAGAGACTTTGAGTAACAAGTTAAAAAAAGTAAAGGAAAAGTTAGTGGTGAAAGCTGTCGCTCTTTTGAAACTAACAGCCAGCTCTCAATTTTCAATTCTGTGGCAGAATCCACCAGAAAACAAAGGAAGGGATACAAACATAATTATCACTACTCCACTCGTTATGGTGTTGACTTCCCACCAAACGGCGGGAGTGAATATTCCAGTCCTTTAATCGGGCTTAAGAACGGTGGTATGAGCCTAAAATACACAGATTTTGCCTGACTTTAATGGTAAACAAACGGATTCAAAAGGTGCAGAAAAACTACATCATTGATGGGCCATTTGTAAAAAGACTGGGATTCACATACATTTGTCGGGTCTGGTGCCGCAAGACGAACGACAAAAAACTTTTTTTCTGAATGGGTGGTTTGGTTTGTTTTGGGGCTATTCTAAATGAGTTATTGTAGGAGCAGATTAAAGGTGTTCCTCTGCCTGTTTTACTGCAGTGTTTTCCCCTTCCTATTGTGAGGTTTTCCTTTGAATATTCAATAAAATTGCCGAACTTCTGGACGTCTTTGTTTGAAGAGCGCATTTGGGTTTCCAAAAATTCAATCTGATTTCACGGTGTTAAGGTCGTGGATTTTAAAGAGTGAACATCAGACAACTTGGCGGGATTGTGGGTTTTCCTCCATTTCACTTTGCAGAAAAACACCTCGTATAGCTTCACGTTTGTTTTGATCCTAGTTGCTCATTTTTGTGTTTTCAGAGGTGAGGAAACCAGTCTGTTTGTTGATGCTGTTTGTCTAAAGGACAACCAGGAAGGATCTTTCTTTTAGGGTGCTGGAAGGCAGTCCAGCTCAGGTATGGGAGATCATGAAAGTTACACCAGTCACCCATTGCCTGGCTCTTTTTCTGTCTTTTGGTGATCGCATCGTTTGGCCGGAGAAGGGGAGCGGACATCAGAAGACAGAAGAACAAGAAAGCAGAAAAGTAGTCGGCGTGAATCCAAAGCCTTTCCTGTCAGGGCATTCCGGGCGGAGGTAAAAAAGTCAAAGTGGAAGTAACTTTAGTTGGGTGTTCTCATATGAACTACTTGCCCTTCACAACATGTAGCAAACTACAAGGAGAATTGGCCATGTCAATATGGATGTATCACATCATGGGAAAATCCTTCATTTAGGTTTAGGCAAGGGGTAGCACCTGAGGCTAGAGCGGGCAGGGAGGAGGAGTACTCATCCGTAACAAATTCTGGCTTTTTGCATTGATACTCCATACTACATGTTTTTGGACAGGCAGAGTAGAGCATGAAAGCAACTATTACTCGGAGCAATGTCGGACTTACTGTGAATTCTTTGGGACAACTGAACTGCTCTATTCACACATGTGCTTCAATTTGGACATTACACAGATTCGGTTTTAACAATAGGGAGCTGGCAGGCTAAAGTCTGTTTACATGTTTTGGGTCCATCTGTCAATTACATAGAAACATTCTATGCCAATTCAAACATGCTAGCTCGTTCCAGGTAACGTCTAAAAATATGGCTACCATTCCTGTTGAATATAATGTGGGCTGATAAAGGGCACTTCCAAGACCTTTGGATGGGCAGTAAAAATTCTTCCTGTCAATCAAGAGCATAGAAGGAGGAACAACCAGCGTTAGAACAGTGTTAGATTTGAAAATGAAATTGCGGGCAACCTATAGCACCGATTGCATGAGCTCTTTATTTTTCAAAACAAAGTTCAAATAATTAAAAGCTGGATGGCCTTAACATAAACCTATTACTGTTCAAATTATCCAGCAGGCTTTTAAAGAAAACTTTCAAGGTTTATCTCCACAAACCAACGGCTCATCCCACTTGCAACTACGTAGAGGAGCAAAGGGGGAAACAGCTCAGCCTTGGCCTTTGATTTTCTCATCTAGACTTCTGGCAGGAATGTGAATATAAAGCAAATTTTCCCAAAATGTTGATTTTTCCTTGTTAAAAAAAAAAGTCTTGTGAATTTTTTATTAGTGATTAAGTGCTATATGCTAAAAATCAAGGAAAGTGTAGCTTTATAATACCTCACTTTTCACTGCTCAGATGCATACAAAGTTGGAACTGAAGCTTGATTCACTAAACAGTTGGATGCAACAGATAACACATACAAAATACCAGCTGTTTATAGTTCAAAAGCAGCACAGATAAGGAAAGCCCTTGCCCTCAATGGCTCTTGTTTGTCGAGTCAGTAAGGCTTTTTTAACTGTGTGGTGAGAAGATGTGGATATGCAGCAAATCTATCGTGGATGACCCTCTTTGTTTTCTCTGAATTCCCGTAAGGTAGAGATAGTAGAGAGATGTGAGTTGCTGTGTAAAGCAGTTGTTTCGTGTTCTTAAAGGAGATGGGCTGTCATTCGTTATGGCGATACGACCTTCCTCTTCCTCTGCTAATCCAGTCAGCCTGTTGAAGAGGTAGTGTATTTAACAGTAGATGCTTGAATCTAATTCCAGGGTGAGAAGCGCAAGGATAACCTGACTCAGCAAAGAGTTAATCCCTGCCATGAGATTGGGACAATCACCCACAGACAGACAAAGAGGGAGAGGACAGAGAGAAAATGCTGTAACACTAACCATCAGGCTGTGCTAGAGAGCTGAGCCAGCCCATTGTGGTTATAATACCCCACTCATTCCTGTCTGACCCTCACCTTCCCCATCTCACAGTTTCCTGTAAGGTAAGGCATGCCAAGCAATCTAGTCGCTTCAGATGGTGTAATGAGTAGTGGAGTCACAGTGTGGGTCTTTGATACCTCGCACACCGTGTGTATTCTTGGAGAAGAGGTATGATGGGTACATGTTCCTGTTGTGATTATTACACTCACTGCAATGAGCCCAGCCTTAGCCCTCCAGCAACACAATCGTTGTACCTGTGTTGATCAAGCACAATGTCCCTAATATTGGGTGAAATTTCACCTGTTCTAGTGGCGTTTCAATTGATTAAATTTTGCCTGTGTTACAGGTGTCTTTCACTCCACTGTTTGTAATAAACCAGTACAATGTAAATATACACATCGATATCTTATGTATGATAACCCCTATGTAGTTGGACCTTTCCTAATTCTTCTTTTTTCCTATTTACTAGATATATTGACAAGCATACTGGGAAAATTATTCCCACCTAAAATTGCAACTCATGGATTTTTGATCTCTCTCAAACAATCAGTCATTCAAATCTTGCAATCCTCCTTTATCCGCGACACAGTCCTACCAGTTGTAAAAGCATAGGCTGTTACCTAGATAATATACCGTTTAAAAGGTGACCTATTGCGTTATGTGTCCACTTGAGTCCCTAGAACTGTATAAAGATGAGGTATATTGAATTCATGACCCATGTAGAAGGCGTGTTAGGTCCAACAACAAATCTGAGTGTAGAGTGCACCCGTTAACTCTACCATTCCAAACTCTCTATAGACGTCTTCCCTGCTCTTTTACCTTCAATTTCAAACTCCCCTCATTCGTTTCCACGAATACCTATTCACGGTGACTATGATATTGAAAACATAATAACAAAGACTATTTGAAAGCTAGGGAGGACAAATAGAGCCTGAAGGAAATCAGCAAAAGGTGTAATTTCTTAAGTCAAAATTTGCATACTTGGTCGGGTTATGAACTCTAAGCAGATAGTTAATTGGTCATTGTTCGCGAATTTGGTAACTGAGAGAGTAAGACCAATGGATCTTATGATATTATTCTAATGGGGAAAAAATAAAACAACAACCGCACCGTCCTCTTGACTAATTCTGGGATTCGGTCAGACAAGAAAATAAAGTCTATCACGTGAAAAATAGTAGGTGTGGAAAATCATATATCATATTAAAATTTCTATCGCCATTCGGTCTTAGCCAATTGTAATCCTTAGCATACCTTCTTCAACTGTAAATAAATGGGTTACCTTAAGGTGAAGTTATAATGTTCCTGTGTTGGTGAGT